TTTTTTTTGTTTTTCCCTACTTTTCAGCTGCTGCAAGCCGTTACCATGGAAACCTTCAATATTTTCATTTCAACTGTGATATAAATTGACATCATGTATCATAGATAACCCTACTAATAACAAAGACAAACTTGCGATTTTTAATCGTATATCTGCTGTAATTGTCACCTTATTCGTTTAACCAAATGATTATATAGTATATTGTGTCACGTGATTTAAAGATGAAAGATTCACATTTGTGGTCGGCTATCCTGTAACTAAATATTCAGCAATAACGAAAGATCTCAAAAATATATGATAGACTTTGTCCAACTACAATAGAAATGTTAATCCAAAATGTAAATCCCTGTAGGTGGTAAGAAAATAGAAAATTTGGTGTCCTGGTTCTACCGAAATAATACAAAATGACGTCATAATCAAGTTCACGTGGTTCATATCACCTCTATGTGAGAACCAACACACAGAGTGACCTAGCAAAGTATATTGGAGTGTATTTATGCAATATACAATAAACATTTCCGATATTAGAAAGGATTGTGATTTTTTTACATAATTTGCATAATTCCGTAGCTTTGAGGTCACGTGACACGCCGAAAGCTACCGGTATGACATGGCTATCCTATATTTTTGGAATCTACACAAGTTGAGCTTTAATTTGATATATGATAGCATTTGTCCCTCCAGGTGGTAACAAAATCGAGATTTTTGAGTCTTGGCCCATGGACTAATTCTGGCCGATCTTCGTTCCAGGCGCGACCACCCATACCTACAATCTTCTGCAATATAAACGGGTCACTTGAGATCCCTTCCCCTAGTTCAATGTTGTTAGAATGATGTCTTCGGGTTTTGCTAGGAAATCGCGTCTTTTTGTCGTCCGCAATCAACATTGCCGAGGGGGAAGGGGTATAGGACCTAACAATTGTGGGTGTCTCATTTTTTTTTGCCGGAGATTGTAGCNTAATTATTACTATTATTATTATTAGTAGTAGCAGTAGTAGTCAATTTCACCTAAGTACAAACTGTTATACCTAATTTTCTGATAGAAAAAAGAAGCTTTTGACTTGCTAACAGTTAGTCAAAGAATGTGTAATTTTTTATAATTTTTTTGAAAATACATTCAAGTAGTACAATGATTACAAGAGCTACCTTTCGCTTGGTTTTCTGGATGGTAACTGCTGGGTTCTGTGTTTACTGGTTGAGTTCTTGCTACAACTTCATGAAGGAGCTTATTGATGACATGATGTGGTGGGTGTGGTGCAGATACCTCAAGAAGACGGAGTTTCCAGTTTTTAACAGTGTGTACAGCACCAGATGGGTCTCTCACATGTGCTGGAAGCAACAACAAAAAATACATCAACTTTGCATTGTTGATCCATTTCTGCCTGACATGTRTACTGTCTGGTATTTGTATTTCAGACCAGATAATCAAAACGTGATGGCTTATATACACTCACTACAAAACATGCATCAGGTATGGTTGCAAGTGCCAATTTTAAATGCCACTCTGCTTGATATCGCTCGCTAAATAGAAACTACATGTAGTAATGGCAAAAGTAAAGAAATGATTGTGTTTTATGAAGAACATAGTATAGATTGACAAAGAAACATTTAGCTCTTTTTCCTTAGGTCTATAAAAGATGTTGTAGGCACAAGGTATAGTCATGGTCCTTATTTCACTGTACAATAATAATAATTATTATTATTTTATTCCATAAATACATACCAGAAATGGTACATAAGAACATAAAATTTAACTTAAAAAAAAGATATACTAGCTGTCTAAATTATTGTACAATAAAACAATACTTTGCAGTTATATAGAGTCATATTTACTTGACAATATATATATAGGAATAAGCAATGATAACCTGTGAAGATTTTGAAATTGTTATTTATGTTATAAAGGTTTTCCAAGAAAGCTTTTCTTASAATAGCCATTTCGTTGTTATTGCATGACATTAAGTAATGAAATTCATTACCAACTGTGTTTAATTAAGTCACAAAGATAACAAAAATGCTGTACATGTATGTCTTTTCAAAATGTACATGTATTTCTTGGTTATCAGGTAATTTGTAAAATGACTTTGTAAAATTTTGTTAGAGTTTGCACATTGAATGTTTTTTTTTTGTCACTGATATTATACCCAGTCCCCAGGGGTATCCAAAAGCCTTTTATTCATCATAAAAGTCAATTCTCTGTGAGCATCCTGAGGCTTAGACCACAGGGAAGCAAACAACATGTCTAGACAAACAAGAGCAAAGAGGGAATTTGTTTAAAGAAAACATTATGATWAAGAACTTTGAGTGGTATTCAATACGTTAAGAAGCTGCAATAGACTACTCATTTTAGCTTAAGTTGATATGGTAAAGATTTAAATATAAGCTTAAGTAAAAATGAAAGAATTTATTTAACGATTTTGTGTTTCTGATCAAGTAAACTGTGATTGTTTGAGAATTWAAAAAAAATGATTTAAACTATTAGGTGTTTCGTGAATTACGACACGATTTTTTGGTAAAAAAATGATTAAAATTGAAAATTCTCGAAAAGCAGATTCTAACATTGATAAGTTTTCGAGCATAGATGGAGTAGGAGCATTTGGACCCTTGCAATGCAAAGTAGCTAAAACGCGTTATTAAAATCAATATTTTCTACAATTACCTTCAGTAGTAAGCTGACAAAATGGTCGTGTCATCTCCACAAAAGACAACTTGTTTTTCATACAAACTTGTTCAGCATCTTCGCTACAAGTCACTGCGATAGTAGGGCAAAAAACGCCTTGGAGGAGCTCCAAAGGACTTTGAGAGCAAACAGCCATAATTTATGATGCTGATCAAAAGATGSTTTAGCTTTGCATTCCAAGAAGGAAGGCGAAGTCGTCTCTTATTTTTACTTGCTATAATCTGGTGCCATTCTCCAAAATCGTCCTCCTTCCGCCATGTTGATATTTCACAAAATTAACAACGCGCATGAGTGTGGTATAATGCTTTGCGGTGGGGTGATTTAGCACAGGAAGCCCAATAAAGTTATAGTCCAATAATCCGGGTTGGAACAAAAACAAGACGCATAACTGAACCCCCATATAAATATTTAGAGAAATTAAAAAAATAACTGTGTCTACGTCGACTTCGTTTTATTAAAAGGACATGAACAAATATCAAGACAATAACAACAATTTACATGTAAGACAAAATTAAGATAAACCTCTTTTGACAGATTCGATGATAAACAACCCATTTTA